CCGGGCCGCTGCTGCAGGAGCCGGCGGCGAGGGGCCGGCGCGGAGCCCCGGCGGCAAGCGTCGTCCCTGGTGGGGGCGGGGAGCCCGGGCCGACCCCTCTCCTCGCGTGTCACAGCGAGGGGGCAGAGCCCGCGCACTTCCCCGCGTGCCCGGACAGTCGCCTGCCCGCGGGTGCTGCTGCAGGAGGAGGTGGGGGTCACCCGGGCAAGAGAAGGAAGAGCGGCTCTTGCAGGGAGGAAGGCTTTAGCTAGGTTCACCAGGGGATGGAGGTAAGAGTCCAGCCCTGCGATGGGAAAGCAGTAGCTGAAGCCTTAGCAATGCTGGGGAGAGGCTAGCACAATGTTGGGGAGAGGCTGCGTTGTTGATGTGCTACTGCAAGAAGTACAAGGGACAAATAGGAAGAGCTGGAGGTCGGAGTACAACCAGGGCAGGAGGAGGGAATTGGGTAAGGGAGAGTGGTGTGACAGTTCAGATACCTGGACTACAGTCGTGGATGGGCATAGGATAGACAGGGAGAAAAGAGGTGTCGGGAATGAACATAGGCCTGTTGGAAGCCCCTGGGCAGTTCAGGGGGGTGAATAGCGGGGGGTCACAGTGGGCATCTGTTACAGGCCACCAAGCCATAAGAACTTGCTAAGGTCCGTGGCAGAGAATGCACGCTGAAAGGAAGAGCGAATAGGTTTTGACCAGGGGTTTCCCCTTATTCCATGCCCACTTGCAGTCTCCAGTATTTAAGGTCTAAGAAGTTCTGATTCAGAGATTGCACCTCTAATTCCCATGCTCAGTAGCCACTGATGTCCCGGTCCTCCAAGAATTTGTTCAACCCCTTTTTGAATCTGTGGCTAAACTCAGCATCCACAACATGGGGTAGCAATGACATCTACACTTTAATCGCACAGTGTAAAAAAATAGCTTGTTTTTGCTAGTTATAAACTTACTACTCACTAGTTTTATTTTATGACCTCTAGTTCTTATACAGAGATAGTAAATAATAAATCCTTATTTACTTCCTCTTCACCATTTAGTATTTTGTAAACTTTTATCTTGTCCCCAAACTGAATAAGTCTAGCCTCTTTAGTCTCCTCACCTAGAAGCTCTTCCATACCACTAATCCTTTTTGTTATGCTTCTCTAGTTCTTTATCCTCTTCAATATCCTTTTTGTGGTGTGGGGACCAAGACTGGTCTCAGTATTCAAGATGTGGACACACCATGGATTTATTAAAGGAGCATAATGGAGGAGGAGGGGGTGGAAAAGTCATTTTTTTAGCAACTGATGGAAGCTTCCAAATAGCTGAGTGGAAGGGGCAGGGGTAAGGGAGCAAGGGAAAGCCAGCAGGGGAGAGTGTGGCTCTCTGCCAACCAGAAAGAGCAGTAGGGCTAAGCCCCCACCTGCTTCTCGCACCAAGAACTCCGGTGTGAGGAGGCAGGAGGCTGTGGTGCTCCCTCTGCTTGCTTCTGAGTGCCTGGCAGCCAAACAGAGGGAATGGTGCAGTGGAGCTGCTTCTACGGGGAACTCTGGTGTGAGAAATGGGGGGAAGCAATTGGTGGCTGTTCCTGCTCTTCCCACCCCATTTCTGGGAGGGGTGGGAGCAGCTGTTCCCTATGCCTTCTCAAGCCTGACTGCTCCAGTCTGAGGAAGGCATGGGAGCCTTTCCCCTGGCCCCCAGAAGGAGTTAAGCTGGGACAAAGGATAAACATTTAATATCCCAGGAGAAATTTAATATTCCCAGGAGCGATTTAACCCCAGTCATGCCAGGATTATTTTTCTCCTAAAGCAGCCATTTTTGCTCCAGGAGAAAAAGTCTGAATGCCTGGGGAAAGCCAAGGATTCTCCTCGTAGAAACTGTACATCTGTAGCGGCAGAAACTGTATGTCTGTGCATAGTCTGAGTTTTACAACCTATATGCATCCTTTTAATCTAAAAACTGAAAAATAATTTGTATAACAGTAGCTTCTTTAACCCCAGTTAGCACTCCCTTGTGCTAGATCCTATACAAACTCATAGCAAAAAGACAGCCTCTCCCAAGGGGAGTTTATCTTTAGAAGTTTAGCATTTATAGGAAATATCAGAGAACTGGAAATAGTCACCTACATTTGAAGATTTGGAGCAAACAATCAACATATTGTGGTTATTTCTAATCCGGTATGGACAATTAATAACTACAGTAAGTTAAAAGCAGACCAGAACTTAGTCCACCCTGGTAGTTTACCCCTCCTTGAAACAGGGCTAAATTATGGAGGATTAGCTTTAGTCTGTGCTGGGATAAATGCAGGCACAGGGACTGTTGTTAGGAGTGGATGAAATGTAGCAAGTCCTCAGTCTGTGCCCTACCTTCAGGGAGAGTGCAGTGGTCTCCAACTAAAAGCAGGATAACTATTTGACTAGAATATGCAGCTAGCACAAGTACTTTTATAATAGTCATTGTTACTGTTAATTCAAAGTAGTGTTTTCCAGTGACACTTAGATTTAAACATGACTGAAGAAACCTTTGTAGACAGAATGGGTAGCAAAAATGGGAAGATAGGATAAAGGGCATTGTCCTTTTACATTTAGCTACAAAGACCTCAGTTCAGCAAATCATCTGAGCATGTCCTTGGGTCCATCTCTGCTCAGAACAAGACATTAGCATCCACTCTCTTTTGAATCAGGACCAAAGAAAGTTTGAAAGGGAGAAGCAAGCAGCAACCCCACCCCAAGAAACCATGTCTCTCAACTGTTCTCAAAGCAAAATACATATATAATTTATACAAATAAAAATCCTGGAATATGACCTGCCCCCTTTATTAATACAGAAATACAGTCATCAGCAACAGCTTCAAATGAACTGCTTGAATTCAATTTATAGTTAGCACCATTAGAGTTTCTCTTTGCCTGTTTCTAAGTTGGGACTTGTATTTAGAGTAAGTATTCTTACATGTAGGAGTTTGTTACAGTCACTGTTCTAGACTTTTGGAAAACTCTAATGGTGCAAGCTTTTTTGAGACAACTTGGGTATCTTCATCAGGATTTCTTCTGTCACTTGGGGAAAACACCTACATGAAGCAATTTCATGCACTGACTTTCAAAAACATTTTACTTTACTACTGGCATTTCCAGTTCTGCTGCTGTGACTTCAGTATTGATCACTGAACAAGTTTACTTGAAAACAGAAAATATTGGACTGAAAATTATTTTGTTGAAAAGCAGGAAAGTTGCTATCTTTACATTGACAAACTACATGGAAAAACAGAAGCCTGGAGTTTTTGGAACTTTTTGAAGTTGAAGGGGTGACAAAACATCAATGAGATGTGACATGTTACCAAATCTTTGTGAGCGAAGTGAGGCATCACAAACAATGCAAGAGCATTGGAGCCTAACAGATCTCACTGCAATCCTGTTTGATTTAAAAAACCCCAAATTAATAGGACATCTCATAAGAAAAGAGGTGGAGGAAAAAGTAGTCTGATCATCAGGGGCTGTTTAAAATCTGTAATTAGAGAAACATCTTAGCTCTGATACACATAGCAAACTTATTGCTTTGCTTTTCTGCAAACCCTTTTCAGATTTGCTTCTGCAAGAACTACATCAACCAGGTTTTAATTGCCAAGGTAAGTTAGGGAAAACTGATGTATGCAGCCACAAAAAAATTAAAGAGCAACAGCTAAACATGCATTCTATGTCCATAAAATTGTGGATATGATTGTCCCCCTCAACTCTCGCAACTTATTGTCCAAGATGGTGAACTCTAGACAGTAGGTTTGTGTCTGTTTATACAACACCTAGCACAACTGTTCCAAATTCTGCTTGAGGCTCTTGCCTGCTTGCGAAACCAAGGTACTCAAGTCAGGTGGTATTATCTTAAGTTTCTAACCTAAGCTGCAGTGAAAATGTTACTGTGTACTATTAAACTACAGTTGTACTTCACAGCAAAAATGGTTTATTCCTGTAAAGTGCTTCTGGATCCTCACTGATCACTAAGAGAGCCAAAAGACAACCTTTGCTATTAATGAAGTTTGAACTAAGCACCCGGTTTCAGTTCCTTAAATATTTTTGTTAAACTAAAATTGTTTGGACTACTTGCATAGAAATACTGATTCCAGCAAAGTTTCAGTTCTTTATTTTGTGCTCCAAAGGTTTGTTTCAACACAAGGATAGAAAAACTAAATATTAAGAGGTATGTGCAAGCTTTATCTATTGCCTAGACCACTGGTGCTTAAATTTTTGGTCCTAAGGGGTGGATAAGTGGTGCTGAACCAGTCTGTGGGTCAGATTAGGTTCTATGTGCCAGGATGAAGCCCTGTGCTGTTTGGTCTCAGCACTGCTGGATTGGGCCCTGTGCCACTTCCAACTGGCTCCTACACAACCAGATCAGCCTCATGCCACCT